TTTTTTTTTTGGTGTGTCTGTGTGTTTGTGTTTGTGTGTGTGGTTGTTATTGTTGTGATCTGGGGGAGGCAGGTTAGTCCTGCTCCTTAGGTAGGTTAGCTCTGCTCCTCCTCACCTCAGGATTTTGCTTCTGATTATGTCATTTCTGGGAGCCTCCTGGTACCTGGAGTGTTTTGAGGCGAGGAAGGGAAGATTTTGAGGCGAGGAAGGGAAGATCCTTCTGATTTGACTTGTCTGCCTTTGCCTTCTTCCTCTCTCCTTCCTTCCTTCCCTCTCTCTCCCTCCGCCTCCCCTCTTTCCTTCTGTAGAGATGAGGAATTGTGTTGTTTACAGGGGAGATCTCTTTACCCTTCCTGAGTATAATGCTTTCTGTAGCTGTCTGGATTCTTCTTTCCCTTTCCCTGTTGCTGAAGTGTGAGGTGTGTATGTGTGCGGGGATGTTATTAATGGTGACACTAGTTTCCCCCCCCAAGAAGAGGAAGTGATGGGGGGACTTGAGGGTCAGGAACCTGCTTTAAAAATATCTCTATGGAAATACCGGTCCGTTTGGCTGCTTTTGTAGCCATTATACCCCAATCTTTTGCTTTTCTTTTTCTTACACAGTAACCAGGGTTTGGTAAATAGAGAATTGGGGCATAACCCCTCCTGTGTGGGAGTTTGGGAGAGATGACAACCCATCTGTGAACAGTTTCCCCCTTTATAACAAAACAGTCCTGTTTTTTTAGGAAACATTTTAAATTTGGGGGAGATAGGAGACTGTATTTCTCTTCCTCTACAATATAATTTCTGGTTTGCCTCCACCTTGTATAATTCCCCCCCCCACACTTTCATGTTGCTGAAATATTACTAGGATGCTACTGCCTGTCATGACACAAGGTTAGTGAAGTGAGATCTTAAAGGAAGAACTCTCTTCTGTCCCTGATTTGTGCAACACTGCCTTTCTGATTACAGCTTCCTATATGTGTTTACTAAATGCAGGGCCTAGAGATTCAGAGGAGGTGTAAGTCTTTGCTAGAAACAGCAGGTTTTCTGGGTGAGAAAGAAGCATCTTTGTTAGTATTTGTTTTCCTTTGTAGGGGCAGCAATAAGAGCAGCAGGGTTTAATGTGTGTGTGTTTAGGAGGGAGGATGAACTCCTCTAACACTGGCTTGCAACCTCATTCCTGGTATCATCATCTGACAGTGCTGTTCCTCCCCGCTTTTTCTTGTTCGTTTGGTCAGGAAACACATAGCCACTAGATTTTGGTACAGCAGATAAGGGGATCAAGTGGAGGGGTAGGAGGCCTCAGGGCTTTCTGATATTGACTTTGTTCAACCTGTTCCCCCCCCCCCCACACCACCCCCTTGCCATGCAGCTGCAAGACCAGACTTGTAATAGGTTGTTATCAAACACAGTGCTATAGCATTCAGAGAAAGGGAGAGAAAAACCTCTTTGTAAAAGTTTATTTCTTATTGTATATTTGTGCCCCTTAAAAACTGGGAAGATTTTTTGTTGTTGGAAACTTTGGTAATTGAGCATAGTTTATAGCTGTCAGTTGTCAGCGGAAACGGCAGGATGAACCTCTTAAATTTCCCTGTAGAGTTTAATGTTTTTTGCTTTCTTAATGTATTGTTTCAACACAGAAATTGAGACAATTTGGTGCAAGAGAGAGGTAGTTTCTCCTTGTCTTGTTTAGCCACAAGACTCCTTTGCCTTACCTATCATTTGATAATGTTTTCATTGTTTAATCCTATCTGTTTTATTGGCAGGAGCTGGTGGAGTGCAAGGGAGTGTTATCAATCATAATGCAAGGTCCCAGGGTTCCACTTTGGATGGAGCCACTACAACCAGCACCAGCACTACTACAAATGTCCAAGGTGGATCTGAAGCTGCTGTCACCCCAGGGACCCTCAGCCAGGGCAAATCAGTAGTCATCAGCACCATGGCGACAGCTTTATCAACCAGGAATGGTAAAATTGGGTCCACAGCGGTGCAGACTTTGAATGGGAGCAATGTGGTGATGAATTCTCACACTTCTTTCTCGGCTACTCCTGTAACTGCAAACCCTGCTATTGTCCCGGCTGTCACCCCTCTTGTTAACAATGGACCTGGAAATGTGGGGAAAGTCAATACTGTTAATGCCTTGTTGCCCTCTGCTTCAAATACTGTCATCCAGACTTCTTTCCTTGGCACTGGGGTGTCTTCAGCATCTTCACCATCACCTACAGTGATATCCTCACAGCAACCTCCAGGCATTGGAACTGGAGGGCCTACTGTGGCATTGGTGAGGCCACCCATTCATGCGGCAGGACCCTCGGTGGCTGCAGCCACCCAGAATGGGAGCAATACTGTGATCAATTCGACCATCAGTGTGGGGAGCTTTCCTGCTGCAGCTGTTGCTGCAGCCACTGTGGGTTCTGGTGTTTCCCTCCAGACCTCTCTTGTGAACAGCCAGCCTGGTTCTGGCGTGCAGACTGCACCCACCACACAAGTTATAAAGTCAGAGTCTCCTAAAACTATTGTGCAGACAGTAACACAGCAGCAGACCCTGGCTCCCGGTGGCCAGCCCAGTACTACAGGGGGTAATATGATTATTGGGCAAACTATGCAAGCTGGCCTGCCCAGTGTGGCCCCTAATCCTGGTGGAGTACCTCCTGCTCCAGGTACCCCCACAGGCTTGGCTAAGGGTGCTGCCAATACAGTTGCACAGAGTCTACCAAGGACTCCGGCAGCGACTACAAGTGGAATCAGAGCAACTTTGACTCCAACTGTTTTAGCACCTCGTCAGCCTCCCCAGAATCCGACAAATATTCAGAACTTTCAGTTGCCACCAGGTAAGTAAAGACTAGAAAGAGTTCCTTTTTCTCTTGGTAGTACTGGTATCTGTTGCTTAAAGAGACAAATCTGCTGTAATCAAAAGCTGGATAGCTTGTACTATGATGGCTGCTATGAAAATTGGAGGAGTTCTGCTTTCCATATTTCAGTTGCTTGTAATTGATGTTAGGTAGATAAATGTATTTAAGATACAGCTGAAATTTTAATAGTATTCTTCATCTGATTTTCTGCCCTCAGAGATGAAGAGGAAAGTTGGTTATCAGAAATCAAACTTTTTAGAGAAAGCTGGGCTATGATGGATTTCACCTTTCTTTTCCCATTAAACCATTAGTAATTTTCTTTTCTGATTTATCTATGTAAACATGAGGGCTAGACACACAGCTCAGTTAAAGTGTTGCAAGCTAAGATGTTGGGATTCCAGCAGAGGGCTTATGAACCACACAGCTGTAAATCATATTTATCCTTTTCCCTTGAGTGTTTGGTGGTCCATGGAACCAAAGCATGCTGTTGCAGACCCTTATAAGAGGATGCACTCCTAGATATTTTTATGTTTGATTGAGCAAAGCTGTAGAACAACAAAGTGCCATATTTGATAAATGAAGATTATTTTTTTTAAGGTATGTCCTAGCATCTTCTTCTCTGTTTTGTTCTAAAACTCTTGTTTTAGAAGCCGCATAAAGCAAAGACATTTGGGAATAAGTTTGCTTTTTCAAATACTTTTGATTAAAGTGATACAGAGATACTATGCTATAGTCTTGATGTTTGACAGCCAGCATGTGTGGAATAACATTCTGGTCTCATTCTGTCCTCACCTCACCTTTTAATGTGTAGTGCTGCTGCACATGTATTCGCTAACATAATGTTTTGGCACTGAATGCAATGTGGGTATGAGTTTATATAGTCCAAGACTTAATAGGGCTGGATTAACTTCATTCTGCTATCCTTGTTCCTCTTTCATGAAAGTTATCCTAAGTTATTCATGCAAGTTATCCATTAATTTTGCAAACTTTTACTGAGGTGTTTTAATTGATAGTAACCATAGTGTGTCTAGCTTCCTGGTCTTACTAAGTATTGCATGGGCAACCCTGTTGCATTTAGAGTTGTCATTCTTTCATGAATGAAACACTTCTGGCTTTTTGGTTATCTGTGTAGTTTGGAAACCATATGGCACTAATATGAATGACCTGTCTCAGGCCTTTATCCTTGCTGATTCTTCCTGGTCCTCACATACCTATAAGGATCTGTACCAGTAACTGACACTTCATTGGATATTATTTTTCTCCCGAACCCTTATAGCAAGGTGGCATTATCACTATACAGAGCACATCCAATTAAATTTTATTATTACTACTAATGAAGTCAGTGGGGTGCGTATGTTCTGTGTGCCTCATTTCAGTGGATCTTTTGAGTAGCAAAACCAATATCTAATTTGAAGTGTACTTGGCAGAATGCTTAGATTGATGTGTTCATTTTATAAGCATGTCGGCAAGCCCTATATTTTGTATACAGTAGCTCATGATCTTGCTCAGTTTACTGAAGGCTCTTTCAGATCATCTGTTAAGCTTGGCTAGG